TATCCCATAGTAAGCGTTGTGTAGTAGTCATCTTTGTTTTGGTTGAGAGCTCGGGCGCAGGGGAGGTTGAAGCAAGCGAGATCCGAGGTTTCGTGCGCATCGGGAGACGTCGGTAGCCTGGTAACGTTGGACAAAAACATGGAGATGCTCCCCGTCCTTACACCGTCCTGTCTTGCAGTAGATTTGTGTGCAACCTGCCAGCCGTGCTGGGGGAACCAGGTCTCCGCCTGGTAATCCCAGCCCATCCACTCTCCCCTCCCCCCCCCCCGGTACATATCTCGTCTCCATGGTGATGTCGCTATGGAGAGGCTCCAGCAGCGCTCGCTTGGTTCTAGCAGCAGCAGCAGTGGTTCCTGCGCCAGTCTTTGGCGTGGGCCGGAGTTGACCTGACTATCGGGTGGGCTTGGAGGCGAACAGCCTGACTGACAGCCGCAAGCCAGGCAGCGAGGGTTAGCCCATACTCAGTGACAGGCGACAGGCGACAGGCGGGACAGACTAGTCGATGCTGGAACAAGCCCGCCGGTGTCTATCAAGTGTATCATATCATCAGCATCTTGTTATCCGTAACCAGGTACTATCGACAGAGGCTGCGTCAGCACGAAGATCGGGGCTCCAGGAGGTCGCAGCTCGCTTCTTATGACGCTGGCCGAGACGCAGCATCTCCATCTGGGTCCCCTCTGGGTCCTCGTCGACTGCGACTGATCGCAGGCATGTCTCAGCGGGCGCGCAAGGGAGGCTGGGGGTTGCGGGTGGTTGGCGGCTGGTGGTTGGCCGGCGTTGCTTTTTCTCGGTGGTTGGTTTGCTTTTTCTCTCTGTCTTTGGTGGCTGGCGGCTTTTCCTCTGCGGCCTCGTATCGCAGCTATATAGAGGGCCTCGAGGGCCTCTCCTGGTCCCTCTCCTGGCCTTCTGCTCTCCTCCTGCTACCATATACTAAACATCTCAAGAAACATACATCCTCGCACGATGAAGCTCTCGCTCGCTGCCGCCGTGCTCGGCGCCCTCGCCGTCTCTGCGCAGACATCCACCGAGTGCAACCCCCTCAAGCAGAGTAAGCATACTTATCATATACACAGCTTCATCAGGAGAATCCGATGCTGACGGCGATGCTAGAATGTCCCGCCGACCCTGCACTGTCGGGCTCTGCCGACTTTGGGCTCACCAGTGAGAGCCCGCGCTTCCATGCCACCGGCGGCTCGCCCACGTACGGCAAAGACGGCGCCAGCCTGACCATCGGCAAGCGGTTCGACGCCCCCAAGCTGACCTCGGACTTCTACATCATGTTCGGATACGTCGAGTGGGAGATCAAGGCCGCCCCGGGCAAGGGCATCGTCTCCTCCGCCGTGCTGCTGTCGGACTGCCTGGACGAGATTGACTGGGAGTTCCTCGGCGGCGACCCCAACCAGGTCCAGAGCAACTTCTTCGGCAAGGGAGATACCACTACCTACGACCGGGTCCAGTTCCATCCGGCGCCAAACAACAACAAGGAGTTCCATAAATACGCCGTGACTGGACTGCGGACAAGACGACCTTCTACATCGACGGCCAGAATGTCCGCGAACTCACCCCGGATTCCGCCAAGGGACAGTACCCCCAGACCCCCATGAGAGTCCTTGCTGGCAGCTGGGCCGGCGGTGACCCTTTCCAACAACCAGGGAAACCATCGGTATGTCTCTCTCTCTCTGCTGCCAATAGCACGATGATTCTTAACATGCAATGATATATAGAATGGGCCG